CTTTCTGTACAAGTAACAAGTGTACCAAGTGAGCAAATTTTTAGCATTAGTGAGTAAATGATTACAAACAAATGAATTAGTTGGCTGATAAAACAGTACAAGCAGCAATGTGTTTAAGATTGTGGTGGCAAGACTTTAAATAACTTGATTAGTTTGCTACTAAAATTTATATAATAAATGCTTGGTAAATGTAATTCATTAGTTAGAATAAAACTTAATTGTTTTGTTTAGTTTTTTTTTATTAAAAAAAGAAAAATAAATTGCATTCAATATTATAATAACAGGTGCTTTTATTGTGCATACTGTTACTATTGTTTTGGGAGAGCGTATAGAACTATTAGCAGAGTTTAGCTCCAATAGTTAACTTACATGTTCATTATATAAAACTCAAGATATTTTAATAATAAAGAAATACGATTATAGTAATAACTCAAACACATGGGGTTACATAATTAATCTGTGATTAGGGCACTTAATTATATCTATCAGTAATCAATCAGGTAAATAAATCAAGTTATACAATCATATTTAAATAAATCAGTAATAGTTAATCAATATAATCAATATTAAGTATCGATACTTATAAGATAATAAAGTAATAATGATAGGAAAAAATATATAATATGATCATAAAGAGCCTTCACATTTAAAATAAGAGAAATAACAATAAATACAACAATATAACAATAAACTTATAACAACACTTGAGAAATCAATTCTTAAAACTTCTATATTAAAGACATTAAATTTAAAGCTTTTATTCAAAGAGCAAAAAGGCAGCTTATTTATACTTTTGAAATACATTAAAGGCTTGCTACAAAATACATTTTTTAAGTTTAGATCTATAATTTGTTGTTCTAATATTATCTTTCTATCCAACCTTAGCTCAACCAGACCTATACCTTCTAAGCCAATTTTACTATTATACTTCTAAGCTTTTTCAGACCTAATCTCTGTGCCTTATGATAACAAACAAATAAAAAGAATCTATAGATATATAAAAATAAACAAAGATGACAAAAAATAATTATTTGTTTAGATTTGAACTTCTAAGCCTTCGCCACAACCCAGCCTTACTGTATACACATTCTCATTACTACAAGTCACGATTTTTTAATAGAAAAATTGTGCTAATATATATAAAAACTTTATTATATAACTAACAAGATTTTATAATAATATAATAAATATGTTAGCTTTTAATTTTCAAGTAGGATTTGTTTGGTTATAAAAAAGAATGTGCTGCAAATTAAAATTTAAAACTGAACCTAAAAATTTATTATAATTAGTTACTGGTTTCAATTTAGCAACATTTATATTCCATATTAGGTCAGTTCTAGGTTTATAATATTATAGTTCTGGGACTATATAAGGACTCGAATTTGTATAACAGTTTGGGTATAGTTCTTAATAAAACTCGCCCAGAACTGATCTGTGCAGAATACTAATGTAGGATAATAAAAAAGGAGCTGTTGTCTTATTTAACAAGAAAACTAATACAAATTCATTGTGAATTAGATATGTGCTTCATATTCTTCAAATAGTAATAACTCACTTTGAGCAAGAAGCATTTAGAAAAGTTTCTAATACTACAGGGTTTTTAAGAAAACCATATTTATATAATTTGTTATATCTGGCATGAAAGTTACATGATGATTATGATTATAGCAACAAGAACAAGCTATTAAACATCAATTCACAAATAATTAGAAATTTATATAATAGATTACTAGGTTTTCAAAATAACCAATATTAGTTGTCACTTCACACACATTGAGTTATAAATTAAAAACGGCAAAGCAATATATTGATCGATGCATAGCTTATATCCAATTTGCTAATTGGTTTATTAATAAAATAGAAAGTCATAATACCCAAAGCAATATATTGATGATTGGAATTTGTTTCATTTTGACTTTTTGATTCGAAGATAAATATTTAAATAAAATATATGTTCAACTTTGCTGAACACTTCTATGAGCTACTAATACAGTATATAATTAGGCAGAATAAGGTTCCACATATTCACCAAAATAATCAGCTTGTTATTCTGCCTTTAGGTCATAAAGCGTATGAAATGTTTGATAAAGTGTGTACAAATAGCATGAATTTTTTCAAGAAGTAATTAAAAATTATGAATATTCTTTGCTGATGAATTATTAGAGGTGTTAGATGATTTAAATAGTAAGAAGTTCAGAACACTCTTTGAAAATTTAGAAAAAGGTATGATTAAATCCTTAGATTATTTTGAAAAATGGTTTTCTCCTTGGTTCTATTTACTATTTGTCATTTGTTATCTTAGTAGTAATAATGCTAGATCATTTGCTTCTAGCTTTTATTATGTAGTATTAAAAAGACTGTAGATTAAACCACCAAATGACTTGGAATTACGTTTTGCAGAAAAGCTTAGTAATAATTTGAAAAATGGAAGAACGAACACCTTGAGTTTGCATGAATTGCTTTTACGAGATGATGAATTTCTTCAAAAATTTAAAGTGTTTTGCATAGACAATAAATTATGAATATATAATTTTTCTAAATTATATTATTTTATCAAAACTTAAATATACTTTATAATTATCTATCAGCAACAAGTTTAAGGAATCTTTAATAAATTAGATCACAAAATATACTCAAACATGTCACTTTCAACAAAACAGTCCAAGATTCATTTGTCTGCAAGCAAAATTGATAAAGAAAATTTGTCAGAGAGATTAAAAAAAATAAGATCAAGTTGAAAAAAGCTACCTCTTCAAGAATTAGACCCACCGCAATTTGGTCCTGATGATGCTTCGAACATTTTCAATAATTTATTATACTAATAAATTGCATATATATTTGATGCTAAATATATTTTATATCATAAATTAAATATACTGTAAATCCATGAAATAACACACATCTGCGCATTATTTTGAACACCTGTGTATTATTTTGGTTCGCTTATGTGCATTATTTCAAAAAAAGGTTAATATTCTGGGCCATGTCATATATTTGCTTATATGTAGAGTTAATAGTCTATTTTGGTATATAAGATGCACACTATTTCAGGACACGTATAGATGTTATTTTGAAACTAGGTATACTATTTTTGAAGAATTCAATTTTCAAAATAACGCCCATAATCATTATTTCATGGATTTACAATATATTTGATGTGATATATATTTTATATTTTATAATTTTTAATATAATAAATTCATTATATCAAGATATCAATATAGTATGCAATATATTCACTATTGTTACACAAAAAATCTCTGATAATTGATTTTTATATGATACTATATATAGTTTTGATTTTTATAGTGAATGTTGTACCCCAACACAGCATGCATGTGACTTATCTACATTATTGGCACAGTATGAATAAATCAATGTATATTCAACTTTTAAGCTTTGAACAAAGATATTTTGACAACCATCAAAGCAAATTCGATTATTTTTTTTTTATCTTTTATTTACAGACTTGTGGAATTGGAATCAAAAAAAGTTCATCAAATTTGCTTCGATGATTGTCAAGATATCTTCATTCAAAGGTTGGTAAAGAATTAAAACATCTATTAAGTAGAGATAAAAAAATATACTTTGAAAGAAGATATCTTGACAATCACCAAAGCAAATTCAATGAACTTATTTTTTTTTAATTATATAGGCTTGTAGAATTAAAATAAAAAGGGATTAACAAATTTTTTAGATGATTGTCAGGATATCTTTGTTCAAAGACTAAACTGCATATTATATAGAAACAAAAAAATTTTTTTAGAAGCTTTGAATAAAAATATCTCAAAAAAAAGTTCATCGAATTTCTTGAGTAGTTGTCAAGATATTTCATTCAAAGATTCTAAAAAATTTTCTTGCTTTTATTTAATAGGCATTTTAGTTTTTACCAAAACTTTAAACGAAGAATCTTGACAATCACCTAAGTAAATCCGATAAACTTTTTCTTATTTTAATTCTAAAAGGCAGTAGAACTAAAAAAAAATAATCCAATGAATTTGCTTTGGTGGTAGTCAAGATATCTTCGTTCGAAGTCAAAAATTTTTTATCTCTACTTAATAGATGTTATAATTCTTTACCAACCTTTGAACGAAAATATCTCGACAACCATTGAAGCAAATTCGATGAACTTTTTTTGATTCCAATTCCACAAGTTTGTAGATAAAAGATAAAAAAAAATAATCGAATAGCTTTGATGGTTGTCGAGTTTTCTTCTTTCTAAAAGTTGAACATGATTTACTCATGTCGATAACGTAGATAAGTCACGTGCATCTGTGTCGGTATAATCCCCCCAATTAAAAATGATCTGGTGACATAAAAAAATTCAAAACAAACGTTTACTTTGCAAAAATCAAAACTTTTAACAACTTTTATTAGTAAACCGCCTCTGGAGTTCTAAAAAAAAATTCCTCGTGTGATTTTACTACTAGGCACTCCTTTATAACCCTAAATTACGCACAAACCCTAACTTGATAAGCCTTTTTGTTCGAAGACTATTGACCTCGAAAAATCACATGACCAGAAAATCGATCCTACGCCCTGTCAAACGAATATTCTACGTACAGAGCTTAGGGACAGAGCAGAATCATGTGATTAGTTAATTAGCGGTTGGGGACAGAGCAGGTCAGGTTGTATAGTATCACGTGATTTTGCTCTGTCCCTAAGCTCTGTCCGTAGAATTTCCGCCTGTCAAATTTACCAGAGCATGACATTAGGTTTGAATTGACGATCACTCCTAACGCTAACATTAAATTGTACTGTGCGATGTTTACCATGATCTTGATCAAAGCTTGAATTGCACAAATTTGGATGCTTGTAGAACAATTATCATATGTGTGTACGTACGTACGTGCATAAATTTTATTCTTTTGTTTTTTGACTTTTAAAATGTAACTTTTAAGATAACCAATTTTGCTCATTACAAGAAGTGATTATTAATTTCTAATCTTGAGTGAAAAAAAGAATTTTTCAAATAACAAAGAATTATTAAGTAATTCATTATGCCCGAAAAGAAAAAAATAACTTTTGAAATCAGAAAAATAAGAGCGGGTGATTTTCTTCACGAGGAAAATGGAGAAAAATTAGCCAGATTTTGTGTTGAACCTTTTTTTTATAGCGAAGGAATAAGAAGTGGTGAAAAAATCCATCGTCTACTTATTCAGTATACTAACACAATTGAAGATATAGAACAGTTTCGGAGAGGTAATATTATTACTTTAGAAATAGACCGAGACCTGGCTAACACTAGTTTCACTCGCTTAAATAAATTTCACATAAGCAGTGATCAGTATGGGAATGAGACCAACCAAATATTAAGAGGAAATATTGATGAATATATGGGTGGTATGGGTGTAATGTTTGGTTGTCAATTACACGAATTAGTAATTAAAAATAAAAGCAAGAATAATTGTTGGAAAGTTTTAGAAGTAGGAAAAAATAAAAAACAATCAGACTGGGAAAAATTTTACGAATTAACCAAAATAATTGTAGATGATCCTTACGATGATAATGATAAGTTGGTTGATTTTAATATTGTTTTAGCAGAAGCAATGAAACTTAAATCTAATTACATAGAAGGCCAATTAAAGAGAATAAATACAGAGTTAGAAGAGTTAGTAAGACGGACCAAGAAGAAGTTAGTCAGTGATGCAGAAAAGGAATGGTTTGAAGTTTATTTAGAGTCAGGACGAGAAAATCAGTATAATTCTTTCATTTATAAGCAAGCAGAACGAGCCAGAAATAATTTAAAGCAAAGATTAAACAAAGAAGAACTGGATAAGATTCGAAGCCAACAACATGAAATTAGTGAATTAGGAATGAAATTGGAAAAACTTCAAATTCAAGAACGGCAAGTTCAGGCGAAAATTCCTCAAAAAAAATCTCATTAACTCAATTCAACTATAAGTATCTAAATACTTCCTACTATTTGTATACATGCGGCTTTTTAAATAACAATTCTAATTATTAGCTCAATACATGGGAAAATCTATTAGTGATTTTTTGCTTAAGGTAGTTGACAAGGAAAAGTAGCAAGCTTATTCTCCTTAGCTAGTTCTTGCGCAAATATGACTAAATTTGCAGTTTTATACTTATTAAACAATAATAGCAAATTTTATTATTATTGACCTTTTCTATATCTAATGTCGCAGCTGATGCTGAATTCGAACCTATTTTGTTATGAAATTTTAAAATTTTTGGGGTGATTTCCCACTGTTTTTTTAGGGTTATATTAGGATTTAAGAATAGAATTGATAATTAGATTATATGTGGATTCTAGCAGGGCTTATATTTTCAAATCGAGACTGCTTGAGCTTTTTATATTCTACTCTTGAATTTTAGTAAATATATATAGCATAAAAAAATTATTATTTTGTAATTTATTGTTTATTATTAGTATATGCAATTTAATTTAACCTACCTGTTTTCTAGATCTTTATAATATACTTTCTTTTTCTTATACTATAGATTAACTTTATAGTAAATTTCAACTATTATACTATTTACTTTTTTGTTTTCTCAAACTTTAGTATTTACTTTATAGTATATTTTTAATATTTTATGCAGAAAACCATAACAATGATCAGACTCAAAGCATTGAGTAGACTATAGCACTCTTTGTAGCTGTGAGAACCAGGCTTAAAACAAGTGAGTGATTCTGCAGAAGATTACCAGTCCAAATTAGTGATGGTACCCGGGTTGAATATTATCCAGGTTATCTGCAGATAATCAGATATCCGGGTTGTAAACTCAGCTACCCGAATAAATATACCCAGGTAATACCTGGGTAGACATACCAGATAATCTTCGGGTAACAAAAGTTTAAATATTCATATAGGCTATCCAATCTAAGTAAATATAAATAAATTAATAATAAACTTAATACTCAATATACTTTACAAAAAGTTATTTTTAAAATACTATATTTTCTTGAAAGTTATATGTAGAATTTTTAAGCCTAAAAAGGGTCAAGTAATTAACCAAAATAAAGTAATGCTTCAATAAAAGAATCTATATGTTGTTCAATCGAATTATTCAAAGATAAGTTAAAAATCATTTAATTTGTTTGTATTCAATTTTTGAATTAATTTTAACTGATATTTCAATTGGTTATTCAGAGATAAGCTATAGTAGGCTTCCATGAAGGACAGCTATAATATTTTTAATCAATTGGTATTTATCAAATTCTTCAAGATCTTTCTTCTTGGGTTTGTAATTTGTATATTCCTAGTACTATAATTGTGGATAAAGTAAAAACTTTTCCACTTTTTTCTTAATTTATTGTTGTATATATTCTCTTTTGTAGACTTGTATAGCAAAACTTGATTACTGATTTTAAAAATTCTAGGTTTTATTTTAGCATCATGATATTTCTTTTATTAATCTTGTGTCTTTTCAATGTTCTGTTGAGCCTGGAGTTTTTGTTGATATAATTGTTTTGTAATTTTTTTAATGTATTAATCTAATGATTGTTCTAATGAATTTTCTAGAGCTTCTTTTTTCTTTTCATCTATTAATTGCAGATCTAAAGATAAAGTGGTTTGTTGTCTGTACACAAGATAAAATAAATCATATTTGGTAGTATGATTTCACAGAGTATAATATGCAAGTAAAGCAGTATGTAATAAAGTATTCCAAGTGGCCTTATAGTCTCCTACGAGTTTTGCAACATTAAACAAAGGGTTTTATTGAACCTTTCCATTAGGCCATTTATTTGTAGGTGATATGTGGCAGCTAAATAGTGACAAATAGACAGAAATTTACATAAAGCTTCTATTACCTCATTATAGAAGAAACATCTCTGATCTAATGGAAGAGTTTTTAGACATCTGTGATAGCTTCTATTATCTCATTATAGAAGAAATATCTCTGATCTAACAGAAGAGTTTTTGGACATCTGTGATAGCAAATTATATTTTTAAATTTAAATTAAGCTATAGTGTGTGCCATTATATCAGGTATTGCATGGGCCTTAGGTACTTTGTTAAGTATTTAATGGCTATAACAATATAATAGTTTCTATTTTCAGTTATATTTTTAAAGAGTCCAACGATATCGATTTCTATCTTGTCAAATAGTATACTAACTAGTAGGAGATGTAATTTTTCATATAGTTAAGAGGCTCTTTGTTGCTGGTATGTATTACAGGTTTGTATATATTCATGGATTGCCTTGTACATTTATAGCCAAAAGTACTTATTTTTTGCTCTATTGTAGGTTGATTCTATTCTAAAATGTTTAGCTATTATATCTAAATGTAGTCTGTATAATATCTTTTCTAATTCATTAGCTGTGATTACTTATAATAGTAATCTGTTTGCATTTTTGTTTCTCTAATATAAGAAGTTGTTGCGAAGGAAATAGTATACAGCTTGTTTTATAAATCATTTTCATTATGTCAGATCTAAATTTTCTGAATTTTTGTGCTTTTAAGTTATATTTTAATTTGGTAATATTGTTGTAAATCCATATTAAAATTTCACTTTATTGTAAAAATTTTTTTTAATTTGTGATTCATCAGTAATCTGGTGTATAGTTATAGTGTATTATGACACAAATTACTATATAAATTACATATAGTAATTTAAACTGAGAAAATTTCTTTAATCAGTTAATTGAACTAAATTATTTTATTCAACTGATTGCCAACCAGTTAAAAATAACTATCTACTACTATCAGAAATTCTCAAAGCTTTATTCTCTTGTCTTTATGTTTATTTATTTTCTTTTCAAAACTTTTCAAACTCTTTACTCTCTTCTTAGATCATTTTCATATTATATCAAGCCTGCTAATTGATAACCAATTCTCAACTAGTTGTATTAAATTAACCTATTAAGAATTTTCTCAACCAGTTAACCAAAAATTATTTAGTTTAGGTCAAATAACTAATTATAATCTAATCAATTCAAATCAGTAATCATATATACTCTGAATATAGCATTCACCTAAAGAAAACCTTTTTTCTTACTAAGTTAATTAATCTTCTATATTAAGTGAAATTGTAGTGCTTATTAAAGCACATCTAACAGTAGTAAGATTATTAAAAATAGCTTAGTAATTGTTGAGATATTGCTAAAAAAATGATTGTCTAACTATGTAAAAACAATAGTTTGTTTATACAGATTTTTACATAGTTGACCAATCATGTTTTAGCAATATCTTAACAACTACTAGGCCATTTTCAATGATCTTACCACCATTAGATGTGCCTTGACGAATTCGACAATTTTATTTAATATTAAAGACAATTGATTTAGTAAAAAAGATTTTATTAGATGAACACCACATTTAGATTATATATAATTTATTGTCTGAATTGAAGCAGAGGACTTATATGTTTATATGCTTTGATGACTAAAATTATGATTTTGATACATCTATAATAAAAATATCAAAACATAGTTTCAGCATTTCTGTTTGTAACATCTCTAAAAATTTTAATCTGCGATGGTTATACTACAGAATCCCGACATTTAAAATTCTGATACTGCCAAAATCTTAATAGCACTACTATAAGTATTTTGGCAGTGTTGGGATTTTGATGTTGGAATTTTGTTTGTTAGAATTTTGTATGTCAGAATTTTGAATGTCAGAATTCTGTAGTATAACCATCTGCGATATATATAACCAGATTTTTCAGTGGTTAGGATCAATAATTGAATGCTGTTATAGACTCTGGACTTATACCAGCTTATAGTTCCTAGTATAGTGATCTATATTATGTTATGCACCAGATAACTAGCAAATAATTAATTAATTTATTAGTTGCTAAAACACTGTAACCTGGACTAGATTAACAGATTTACAACTATTGTTTGTTTTTTTTTTAATCTGATGTTTTATACTAATTTACTTTTCCTTTTTTTTTCTTATGAAGGCTTGTGAGAAATCCTGAATAAAGTATCAATGTTGGTGTATGTACTATCCTTCTAATAATATAGTGCAAGAATATTCAGTAGCAATTATAATCCACTTTGCTAATCTATTAGTAGATTATAGATTATTGAGAAGCTATTTAAGAGCTTGATGATCAGTGACTAATTCAAATTCTTTTCTATAAAGATAAGAACAAAAATATTTTATAGCCCATATAGCAACCAAACATTTGATTTCAGTTGCTGAATAATTTTTTTGTGATTTTTCAATTCATGGCTAGTATAAGCAACTACAAATTCTTTATCACTATTATCTTGTTGAGCTAGTATAGCATCTAAGCAGGTATATAATGCATCAGTATATAGAATAAAAAGTTTATCAAAATTAGAATGTCATAAAATAGATGCAGTTATTAATCTTTGCTTTAATCTGTTGAATACATCTCTACATTGTTCATTCTAAATAAAAAGGGTCTTTTTTTAGTAGTTTGCATATCAGCTGATTTGTAGAATTTTAAATTAGAGTGTATTTTTTTAAATTTTAATATCAAATAACTTTTTATAAATTAGTTTATTTAAAATAATTTTGCTTTTAAAATATTCTTCTCTTTAAGATGATTCTAACAAGTGTAAAATCATCTAAATTGAATTACAGGATTATAAGATATTGTGCTGTCAAATAATGACGCACCTCCTCATGGGTTTGACACTATCAAACCTATGAGGGGTGTGTCATTATTTGACAGCACAATATCTCATAATCCTGTAATTCAATTTAGATGATTTTACACTTGTTAGAATCATCTTAAAGAGAAGAATATTTTAAAAGCAAAATTATTTTAAATAAACTAATTTATAAAAAGTTATTTGATATTAAAATTTAAAAAAAATACACTCTAATTTAAAATTCTGCAAATCAGCTGATATGGTTAAGTTGGTATACAATTATAAAAAAATTTTCTACAAATTTTCAATAGTATAAGGCCAATCTGATAAAGCCTCACAACTTCGTTAA